CCCCCTTCCCCTCACTTGGCATATGACTAACCCCTCTCCCTCACTTGTTACATTGCCAGGGTGACAACAGTAAAAAGAGATCAGACCTCACTTGGTGGAGAGAGAGGGCAAGGGAAGGGTAGCCGGTCCCTTGTGCCACCAAGAAGGCAAAGAAAAAAGACGTTGGAAAAGTGGGAAAAGGACGAGATCCGGAGAAAGTATAAGTTAAAGCGAGGTCAGTTTGACTCAACCATTTCCCCGACTGCATGACTATGAGAAGAGGATGGGCTGATTGAGCAAAAGAGGGAACAAAGAGCAGCCAAAGAGTATGGAAAGATAGGCATGTGGGAAGGGCTATGTGCTGACCCCCAACGGGGGATTATATGGATCTTTGCTTGTGTGGGATTGTGCAGGTGAGTGAAGGTTGAGGATGCCTTGAGCACGATAGGGCCGGGAGGAACCGGGCATCAAAAGGAAAAGGGAAGAGGGGCAAAGGGGCTACGGGACCCTTAGCATAAAGCCAACCCATGAAATGATCTTTGCATTTGAGACTTGGAGTGCAAATGAGGAAATGGAGTGTCATCTTGCCAAGGGAAATGTGAGGTTGGGTGTGCATGCATGTAAAGGCCCCGAAAGGACTAAGGGGCCTGCGTCAATAGGGTTGGAGGGGATGTATGAGATCCGATGGGTGAGTAGAGGCGAGGGGGCAGGACGGCACCGCCGCACCCCGATGACGCCGTAGGAACACAATGCTTAGGGAAATGGTGTGCGGTCTAAGGATGACGCTTAGTCTGCGCACAAGAGAAGAGAAACATTCAAAGAGCCCTCGAACTGCCTGCGTATTGGAAGGAGCAATTGCCTGACAACATAACTAAGAATAAAAAAATAAAAAATCAGCGTTGCGGAATGACCAGCGAGACTACCACCCGGCGTGAGGGCTGAGCTACATCCCCAATGTCAAAGCTCTCTCACGCGATGGCCCACCCCCATCCATCTGAAAGCACTAGGTAGGGGTGACCCTGGGACGAATGGCCCGCGCCCTGAGCATGAGCGTGGGCGGGCCGAGCCAACTCGGACCCGCAGTGGGGTCGACTAAGGCTCAAAAGTCTACCGGGATTTGGCCCTACACCGTACGCGGGAGGGGAACTGAGACATAAAATCTCGTTCCTAGTCAGCGATGATCTCCCTATGGAGATCTTACTTGGTATGTACTACCTTTCAGTTGCATAGCCCTAGTTTGACTGGAACCGAAAAGTGGTCAAACACACGCTGCCTGGTGGGGGGACTGCCAGATTGCGTAAGCATAAAGCTAGTAGTCTGATCGAGTCCTATGGGTGCGTGTTTGAGGCCGCATTCTATAATTATTATAAACAAAATCTGGAGGAAGGTATGTACTTAGTGTATGTCTTTGCAGAGGGTGAGCCAGTGAAAATGCCTCCAGAGATGGAGGGAGTGGTCGCTAATTACCCTGATCTATTTGAAGAGCCGAGAGGGGTTGTTGAGATGGAGGTCGTCCATGCGATAGAGATTATCCCAGGGTCTAATATTCCGAAGGGTAAGATCTATGAGATGCCTTCAGCGGAGCCTGGTGAGCTTCACCGACAGCTGAAGGATCTCATAGAGAAGGGTTGGATCCGGCCTAGTATCTCCCCTTATGAATTTCTTGTCTTGTTTGTACCAAAGAAGGGGGGAACGTTGAGGATGTGCATTGACTATAGGGGCGTCAATGCCATCACTGTGAAAAACGCAGAGCCCCTACCATACATCGATGACTTATTGGACCGAGTACAAGGGTGTCGGTACTTCAGTAAGATACATCTGAAGCCTAGTCTGGATACCATCAGATTGCAATCCGGCCCAAGGACCAACACAAAACCGCTTTTTGGACCAGGTATGGTCTGTACGAGTTTGTGGTGATGCCTTTCGGCCTTTGCAATGCTCCTGGCACCTTTCAGTACGAGATGAACGAGATATTTCACGACTACTTAGGTAAGTTTGTCATCGTGTACCTCGATGACATACTTATTTTTAGTAGGGCTGTCGAGGAGCATGTAGCCCATTTAGATAAAGTACTCAGTCTCCTTCGGCAGCACCAGTTCAAGATTAACCGGGAGAAGTGCGAGTTTGGCCGCACCCGCATCTTGTACCTGGGTCATGAGATTTCCACGGAGGGATTGAAGCCCGATGCGAAGGTGGCCAACATTCGTGACTGACCGCGTCCTCAGTCTATGACTGACGCGAGGTCTTTCTTGGGCATGATTGGCTACTACCGCACTTTTGTGCAAAACTATAGTATAGTGGTCGCGCCCTTGTCGGATCTCACACGCCTTGACACCCCATGGGAGAGGACAAACAAGTGTGAGGCTGCTTTCAGACATCTGAAGCATGTCCTCACTCACCATCAGGTCTTGAAGCTGCCCGTTCCTGACAAACCGTTCATTGTGACCACGGATGACAGCCAATATGGCATTGGAGTCGTGCTTGCGCAGCAGGAGGGAAAAAAGTTGAGGCCCGTGGAGTACATGTCCAGAAAGATGCCCTCTCAGAAGTTGGCTAAGTCCACCTATGAGAAGGAACTCTATGCGATTTACAAAGTGCTGACTCACTGGAGATACTACCTCCTTGGGCGATTCTTTTACACCAGGACTGATCATCAGACCGTGAGGTGGATGAAGACCCAACCGGTACTCTCTGATGCTATGAAGCGTTTGAGCCACAGTATAACAACGGGGAGTACAATAAGGTTGCTGATGCGTTGTCGGGTAGACCAGACTTCCTTGGGCCGCTGGTTACTGAGTTTGGGCTTGCAGACGATGTGACTCAATCCTTGGTGAAAGCCTATCGCGAGGATCCGTTCATGGTTGAGATCATACGCAGACTCAAGGCAAAGGACAAGACCACCTCCGATGAGTTAGTGTTGGGGAATGGCCCGCTGTTCCTCGAGAAGGCAGGGAATACACGTCTTTGTGTACCCAATAAAGAGTCTTTGCGTAGTTTCTTTCTAGGAGAGTGTCACGACGTCACCAGGCATTTTGGGTATAAGAAGACTGCAGTTAACCTGCTGCAGCGTTTCTGGTGGCCCACGATGATGAAGGATGCTAAGCTGTATGTCAAGACTTGCCAAGTTTGTCAAGCCTTGGACACAAGCTCCTCTTGGGCTACTCAAGCCCCTTCCGATTCCAGAGAGGCCCGGTGAAAGCCTGTCCATGGATTTCATGGATACGCTGGTCACCAGCAAGAGTGGTATGAGGTATGTCTACGTCATTGTGGATAGGTTTAGTAAGTACGCTAGGTTAGTAGCTATGCAGGAAACAACAAAGCCTGAGTACCTCATCAAGTTATTTAAGGAAAACTGGGTCAGAGACTTCGGCATGCCTAAGTCTATAGTCAGCGACCGGGATGTCCAATTTACCAGCAATTTGTGGAAGGCTCCAGTTGCCGACTAAGGAACGCAACTGCAGATGACCTCTAGGAATCACCCAAAGGCGAACGGACAGGCTAAGCAAATGAACCGCGCTGTACAGCACCTGCTGAGGCATTACATTAAGCTTAATTAGGTGGACTGGGATGAGAAGCTTGCTCTCATCTCCAGTCTGTACAATAACGCAATTCACAGCGCAACCGGGGTCAGTCCTAAGAGCCTACTACTAACGTTCAAGTCTAGACTCCCTTTGGACCTCCTGCTACCTGAGAACTAGCCCACTGCTGCTCCAAGCACTCTGGAATTTGCTTATCGGTATGAGAATCTCATGCAGCAAGCAGTGGATAACATGCATAAAGCACAGGCGCAATGATAGAATCTGAGAATAAGCACCGCCGCCCGTCTACGTTTGAGGTTGGGGATAAGAGTGTGGGGTAAAGGCCTCCGAACTGGCATAGGAGTACGTGATTTCCCGCAAACTCATGCCACAGTATTTTGAACCGTGGGAGATTCTGGATGTTGTTGGGGATGATCCCGGTGGGCCTTCCTATGTAGTGCAAATCCCTGATACCTTCGCACTCACCCTGTTTTCCATGCCTCCAAACTTGCACCGTTCAAAGAAACCGATCAGTTTCCTTCGCGTCGGTCAATGCTGCCCCCAACCATGGATGGAGAAGTTGACATCGACAGCATTGTGGACCACCGAGAGATGTCGATGATGAAACCTCCTGGCCGGGGAAGACCTCTGAAGCCGAAGTTGCAGTTCCGTGTACGATTCAGACACCACACGGAACCAATGGAAGACAGGTGGTTTACAAGGGAGGAGCTGATGCAGACGGCTCCTCAAATTGTCACTCACTATGAGAAGTTATTGCGGAAGGGAAAGCCCCAGATTGACTTGACCTTGTAATTTATGCCTTCACCGTTTTGAGCTCGTTTATTACCTCTAAGTTTCCATAGAGGAGAGAAGGTTACGTTTTCTCCAGCTCCAGGATATGATGAGTGGACATCGCAATTGTGTTAATTGAAACCACAATAAATAATAGTAAATAACTCTTACTCGAATGAAATGAATACTATCGATTGAGGCGAAGTGGCGCAGTCTGCGACATATAAATGCATCACTAGTGTCTCGAAATGAATCGAGCCACCAAATACCGAAAAGATGGCAGTTATTTACAATTTGATAGAAATGTTGTTGTTTTAATCAATAATGGTTTGCCTATTGGTACGAGAATTTTAGGTTGTGTGGACTTGTCAGAGGACTATCGAAGTATGGAGGAGGGAATGCGAGGCCACAGCCCGCTCTGAGCATTTCGGGGCCTTTCATCAAGCATAACCACCCTAAGTGAAGGCGGCCCTGTAAAATCACATGAGGCCTATTTTGTTCTTTTTCGCAAAGTGGGGCTCAGACAGTTACGTTGCATCAGTTGGTTGAATGGACCCAGGCTGCAGGTAACAATATCCGGTCGAGGGCTTCTAGGCCCTTCCTGAGTTCTCTAGAAACAGGCCCTGGGCCAGACACGAGGCACGAACTGCACGCAGCACGCACAACAGTTGTACACGCGTAACCACCCAGGGCCCTGCGGAGTTTTCTGGCCTCAGTCCACTTGGGGCCTACCGAAAGCCTCTGGGCAGGGGCCCAGTGCAGCCAGGCAGCACACAGCTGGCAAGCCACTTCCATAAAGGAAAGTGTCTGCCTCCGCATTTGGCATTCGGCCACTCGCTGCTTATGCACAAGCGTTGCGGCACCAGCTCCTGAAGCGAGTGCCTACACGCTCATGGGCAAGCAAGGAAGAAGCAGAAAATAGTCGAATTGGCCTGCGAGTTGTTGGATGGGGCGCATGATGGTCTTCGGGTGCATGTGGCATCTGTGTGGAGGATCGAGGGTGTGAGTGAAGCGAGGGACATACCTGGTGCTTGATGCGAACGACATTGGCTGAGATCTGCTCGTACTTCGGGAAGTTGTTGACGTCACACGCAGCATTGTAGATAGGCTAGATAGGATCTGCCATTTGTAGTCTGGGCGTTGAGTGCCATATAGGGAATCGACATTGATTCATTGCTGATGATGACGAGACTATTCCAACACTGTCATTTGTGGGCTTTGTTGTGCTGCTTTCGGTTCGAGGTCAAGACTATCTGGTTTCATGTGTATGACTCGGCTTGGTTTTTGGATTATGCTATCGCTCATTTTCCTTACACGAGGTGAACACAATCAGGTTATCTGATCTCTGTTGTTTATGGGAGAATTGGTAGGCCCTTGAGGGAGTTAATTCCTGCACCAGCACACCCCATTCACCAGGTTACCATGTTAGGGCTTTGCTCAACAACTCCTTTCAGCCTTCTGGGATGCATTTGATGATAGTTTGCAAGTTCTCGTCTCATTGGTGACATTCCTTGACTGGGCGGGCAAGTTCTTGTTCTGTCAACGAGTCTTTTTTCTCCTCGTCGCAAACATGACCCACTTTCCAAACTTCGTGTTGAATCCAAGAGAACCATCTCCTTCCTCTTGGCTCAAGGGATAGTGGGTAGTTGCTATCGTCTCTCGCCCAAGGATTGTCGAAGAGGGGTTGCCTCAATACCTATTCTTTAAACTTGGGTCTGCCCACCTTTTTCGGCATGGTTTCCCACCATACGCATAATAGGGCAGTCCAACAAGGTGTGGGGGTTCTGGGTTCAGTTGGACAAGTCCCTCTTTGTTGGTTCCGAGTACTTCCTACGACCTGTATTTGGGTTCCATTCCTTGTTCACCACCCCAAATAGACCAGTGTAGGGCCTCACCCTATTAGACTTTCGAGCCTGAGTCGACCCGTTGTGGGTCCCAGTTGGCTCTGCTCCGCCCGATCTCATGCTCAGGGCGCGGAGCGTTCGTCACAGGGGCACCCCCACCTAGTGTTTGCGATGGATGGGGATGGGCCATTTTGCGAGAGAGCTTCGACATTGGGGATGTAGCTCCGCCCTCTTGCCTGATGGTAGACTCGCCAATCTTTTCGTCAAGTGCAGTTTTCTTGATGCTTTGAGGTGTTGTCATGCAATAGCTCCTTCCAATACACAAACAGTCCAGGGAGTTTATTGAGAGTTTCTCTTCTTTTATGCGTAGGCCAAGCATCATCCTTGGGCCACGCATCCATTCACTAAGCGAAAAGTCCCTACAGCCTTGTCGAGGCCTCGGCTACCCCTCGGCTCGAGTGGAAAAACCAAGTATGAATCGAACCATCATCAAGTGCATGAAATTGACAAGGTGAGAGTGTGACTAGTGAGAACACATGCACATGAGTAGTGGAACAGCCAAGTATGAATCGGACAATCAGCAAGTGCATGAAATTGACAAAGTGAGAGTGTGACTAGTGAGAACACATGCATGTGAGTAGTGGAATGGCCAAGTATGAATCAGACAATCACCAAGTGCATGAAATTGACAAAGTGAGAGTGTGACTAGTGAGAGCACATGCACAAGAGTAGTGGAACAGCCAAGTGCAATGACTTGCTGATTTCTGCTGCCGAGTTTGTCTGCGAGGCTGTACACTAACCGCAGGGTTAGATTCACAATTTTGTTTGGCTGAGGGCTAACCGAGGGACTTGCCTGTTGGGAAATTCGCGAGGGACAGACCTGTAATTCTGAGGGACTACAGGCCCTAAACTAACCGAATCCCTATGACTACCCTAACTGCCTATAGCAGGCCCGGGCTATCCTAGGACAGACAGACCCTAAGTGGCCTAGACTGGTATACGGTCCTATAGCCTATAGCTGGGTCCGGTAGAGGCCGAGGCCGCAAAACAGCAACGGTACCGGTAGGTCCAGTTAGTCCAGTTTCGGTCTAGGCTAGTGTAGAAATCTATAAGGCTAGGAAGGAAACCGGTAGGAGGACTTTTGGCTTTTCATTTTTCGCATGCAGCGTTCGTGGCCAACGAAGTTGGGTAGCGCTGAATGCCTACAGCAGCACCTGAGACATCAGCGTAGTGGAGCAGCCATAGCCAGCCTGCTGAGATAGCCATAGCTGGGGCTGTACTCAGCGCATCTATCCCCAGGGGATATCTGCGTTGACAGGGCTATATCGGAGGTCTTCACTGAGTATATGTGGGTACTATTGCTGCGGTAGCAACTGGGCAGCCATAGCCGCCTTCTTCATCGTTAGAGTGACTCATCGGCACTGGAGACTACTTCGCTGTTCATGATCTGCACCTGGGTGGATGGCGCTGGCCTCTGGGAGGCTGTTGTTGTGCAGCGCTAGACTCTGAGAGTGTAGTAGTGAGTGGAGTGTGTGGTTCTGGAGTGGCGAGATACTGGGTGGAACTCTGTAACGATAATTGAGGTTAACTGTGTTGAGTTGGCTCTTCGTCTGGGTTACTTTCCAATTGTGATCTTCGCAGTGTCAATTGTGATTGGTTGTTGGGATTGTGTCAGGGAGAGAGAAACACTGAGTGTATTCGCCCCTTCTGTGCATAATTGCTATTCCGTTGTTTATCTCTGATTTGTGTGCAGTTGGACCCTGTCTCCTTCTCCCCTTTGTCTCATGCATGTATGGGCGTGTGTGAGTTCTTCTGAGTGAGAGTGACAATTAAAGTGTCAGACAACCAAGATCATAACAGTTGGTATCGGAGTTGAGCTTGGAATTGGAGCTCAGAGGGCTGAGCGCAACAAGGGCACCTTCTTCATCTGGCTCTAACTGGCGAGAAGATCCATGGTGGTTCTCCATCTCCAGTGACTATCCAGCAGGGAAGAAGGGATACAAGCGGTGATTGCAGGAACATCAATTGCGATTGATCACGCACCCTGAGCCTGTCTGTGTGCCTGACAGGAAGTGGCGAGAAGAGGGTTATTTCACCATCCACCCTCCTGACCGCAGTTGATGACTGGGTCTCGGGTGGCGAAGTTTACCCTAATCCAGTGATTACTGGGTGGCGGCTTCAATCCCAGCAGATCGCTGAGGGAGGATTGATCGCAGGATCCCCTCCTGCTAAATTAACCCTACCCAGGGCTAAATTTAGCACCAGCGGTTCATACCCTGCAGTGGCGAGATATCTTCAGGAGAGTTTTCTCTCGCCACTGGGGCAGATTCAGTGTATCTGAGAGTTGGGGGTGAATCGCCTCATCATACTGGAGCAGATCAACAAGTTTCAGGGGATTCTGTACGTGGGAAGCTCTAGAAGACTGTCTGCAAGTACTGGCGAGACCAGGGTTTGGCAGCCATAGCCAAAGCTTCATCACCCACTGAGGATTGTACTTCAAGTGAGTTCGTTCCACATGAGTCCCTGAGTAGCGATTAGTATAGAATTAGTGAAAATAGGATTGATGGTCTGTCTATCAGTACTGCAACAATCGTGAAATTGTCAGATTGCAGGACAACCATATCCATCTTCTTCCTCCCTACCCTGACTCATATCTCTTCATCTACTGACCTGTTCTCACTCCAAATTGTTATGGGACTGCTTTACAGTATTGCGCTGCGCTGAGTCTACTTTTAGTCTAGGCTACCTAGGGTCAGTCATAACTC